ATAAAAAAATGTAGAACAGTGAAACTAGAAAATGATGGTGATTGTATGGGAACAACATATTCATGGCACAGGAAATTACTAATCAACCCACATGAGTTCCACATACACAATTACTTGCAACACAAAGACATATTCTTCAAAGAAAAAATAAATGGAGAGCCAAAACAAATTGTACTGTGTTTCATATTCACAGCCTACGTTGCATTATACGTTCTTGAGATTAGCCATCATCATCACGTATATATATAGCCCCCCCTGCAATAGGTGTTTTTCCATAAAAAAATTGTGGATCTTTGTAGAAACAAGGACCTTGATTTGTCAGTCAATGCAGAAGTTCATTACTAATTTCTTAGACATGGTCAATTGTGCATCTTCCGTTATTGTTTTTTGTCTTTGCAATACTCACGCACTGAACATATCAGCTCCATTTCATTGAAAAAAAAGTAAAACCATACCTGCTCCGTGCCATTTTTGTATATCACGACATCCTGCATTTCAGATGGTCAGATTTTGCTTCTGGTAGTGTACATAGAATAACATGTGAAAGGAGAAGTAACCATACCACTGCTCCAGATACTAGAATGTAGAAATCCGTAGGTATCTCATTTTGTAAGTTGATATCAACCTTTGGTGGAAAATATTTTGCTTTCATTTCGGACACCTGAGAGGAGAAGATGCCACAAGATGCTGCTTAATTAGATGACAATCTGGTAACTCTGAATTTAAAATTTCCACATTGATTTTGGCTCCTGCTATATGGACTCATTATGCATCCTGGATGTGTGTATGGACTGTCTATCAGACACTTCTTCTTCCCTATGGAGGACATGGAGACATGATGTTTTAAGTATCTGAATTCTTCTTAAACGTTTACTCTAAAATGTTATTGTATCATATTATGTTTGACATGGATGCCTCTAGCCTCGTATTGGTAGTATCCATGGAACAGAAGATCAATTTAGTGAAACATCATAATGAAATGCTGGAGCTAGGAATTGTTTACCCTTTTTTTTCCCCTTTCTAAACATGTACGTATTTGACATAGGTACTTCACCCTACTTTGGAATATTCATATATTACCAACAATATATACATACATATATATATATATTCTTAACAAACATTCTCTTGGCTTCAAGGAACACATAACTAATAGTTTGTCTATTATTATGTCATGTTGAGTCTGAAATAGGTACTTCACATTTTGAAGTGTCAATGTGCTCAGTTAATAATATTCTTATTGTTGTTATTGTTTTGTTGCTATTAAACTAGAGTAATTACTATAATATTGCAACATGATCTATAATGTGAAGGAGAGGGAAAAGATATTGTACCAGTTGGACGATAAGGTCTTCAGAAACTCCTTTGAAGAGATAGGCATTTTCCACAGTTCCATGAAAAAGATGCTGAGCAATACTTGATCTAATTGCCTTAGGTAGGTCTTCAAGCACTTCCTCCTGCTGTAATTCTGCTGTCCTAAATTTCAGTTGCATATTTGCCAGCATTTGCTCTTTCAAACTTTCCGGAAGTCGATTCTTGCTTGCATATCGCAAAATCTGATTGATGGTGTCCCTCTATAAAGCCATTATTAGATAATACTCATAATAGTGTAGTCTAGTAGATTGGGGAGGCACACTTCTGAAAAGTTGAGGGTCTGGTCATTTTGATTCCCTCCCCACACTAGAGAGAGAGAGAGAGAGAACCGTGACTCCAAAAGTCAAATGTGTTCATAAAAAGGGTTTTAGAGGAATTACCATGGCAAAGGTTCGGACTAAAATTACCATGGCAAAGGGTTTTAGAGGAATTACCATGGCAAAGGTTCGGACTAAAATTACCATGGCAAAGGGTTTTAGAGGAATTACCATGGCAAAGGTTCGGACTAAAATTACCATGGCAAAGGGTTTTAGAGGAATTACCATGGCAAAGGTTCGGACTAAAATTACCATGGCAAAGGGTTTTAGAGGAATTACCATGGCAAGGGTTTTAGAATTGTATTTCCATGAACAACACATAATGAGAGTGAAAATAAAAATTCAAAAGACTCAAACCCCATTATAGAATAAAACACAACTAGAAACAATCTACTATCACTAAGACCACAAGCTCTGCTTAAATTGTTGTTCTTTTGTTACCTAGAACCAACAAACTAATTAATAGGCACCAATCAAAACATGAATTGATTATATTCAAAACCTAAATTCTGGCCATTTCATAGAGATGGCAATGAACATGACACTAAAAATCCTGTCCAGTAGAAACAAGCTCTCCATAAGATAACAGAGCCATCATTGTGAGAGAAGGTAAAGAGAGCATCAATTCATGTCAAACACTATTTTCTTTTCTGTAAAAAATTAAAAACCTTCCGGGAATAACAGTCAATCTCTGAACCCCATACAAGAAAGTCACTTTTTTCCAAAATCTAATAGAGCCAATCTTTTACCATAACATTAATTTTTAGTACAACGGTAAGTAAACCTTATTATTATTATCAAAGAACCTATGTTGGCATACTCACACATTAGGGGAAACCAAACCAGCCCTTTGCCGCAAATTAGTAAAAGAATAAATAAATAATGGTGCAACAATGACATTATGACAAGAAAACCTTTGCTAGAACCAGTAAGCTAGCCACTTAAGATATAAAGGTAGATGCAAAGTACACTGCTCACATAGGCATAAAATATTCATTCAAATGCTGAAAGCCCTTACAACATTAATCTAGTTCTTACAACTCAAACACCCAATATAAAAACAAACAGCAGATTCATTTCATCTATCCATCAGTTCAAGCACAGAAAGGGACAGATTCCACAGTGCATAAAAACAAACAGAAAAACAGAGAAGAGAAGGGAGGAGGGGGATATAAATATATATATATATACCGAGAGAGAGAGAGAGAGAGAGAGAGAGGCTAAACAAGGGTTTCAGGAAGAAGAAAGAGAAGAGAGAGTTGAAGCAGATTACAAATTGAAGCCAAGTTCAAGTCGAAGTAGTTGAAGCAGACTGCGTCCATGGACCTTTCTTCTAGTAAGGCGAAGCAGACTGCGTCAATGGATCTCCACCCATTCAATTGATTGAAGTGTTTGAAGAAACCCTTCCCCTTTACCTACGTCTCCCTCTCTTCTTAGAAACTGTGTTTTTTTTCTTTTCTTTTTTTCGAATTGTATCAGTCTATTTGATAATAAAAAAATAAATTAAATATATTTTTTTTTCATAAGTGGTGCCAAAAAAATTGGGTTTTGGTGCCTGATAATGACTGGCAGACATGTGCCGTATATAACTGATGTATTAACGGCATGCTATATGTATGTCGTAGAAAGTTTTATCAATTACGGCACGCAATGCAACCCGTGAAAAAATTATCATTTTTACCATTAACGACCTACGCAATAGACACGTCATGGTTAGTCTATTATTTACGACATGCAAAAAAAGGAAGTCGTAAAAGTGAGAAATTACGGCTTGCATGCATTGTATGTCGTTGATGTGGTGCCGTAAAAAGTCAATTTTGTTGTAGTGCAAATAGTTTATAGCAAATCTAGTTTACTCTAGACTTGGAAAAAGCCTCGAATTCCCAAGTTCAAAAGCAACTAAAGATCCCTCATATCTTCTAGCTGACAAGAGCTTGCATAAGGAAACAAAATTGCAGTTTCTGCACCAAAACCTAATAAAATTAAGTCTGAACTATACCATTACTGATTAAAAAGAGAAAAAAGCATCACATAATTAACTTCAATACAAGTAACCACTGGCAAATGACAGTAAAGTAAGAAATTCGAGTTCCCTATTATCTCATTAAGTAGCTGAATCCAAAAATAGAATAAATTCTAGATAGCAAAATGATGTTTCACCCTATATGCAAAACAACTATGCCACGTAAACCAAGATTATGCTAGGCACAAAATTCTGCTAAAGCTATAAAGGTTAGGATCAGTTAATACCAAAAAATTAAAATAATCCTGTGTAAGGGAGATATTACTGACATGATAGAATGGTGGCGAACTGTTTAGTCCCCCTTCTTTAGAACAGCAACAGCAACAGCCTCCCATTTCTATTCAGTTATCTCTATTGTCCACCAGAAGCTATCAGCAATTTAGTCATCATGTTCCTTCTGTTTGGCATAAGAAAAGGAATTCTATTAGATGAAAAATGCTTGGCATAACACAAGGACATTCTATAGATCAAAGGTAAACAATGTCATAGTTAAAGCCCAAAAGAAAACTACTTTTAAAATTCGGACCGACTCAAAAATCATCAATAAATATCAAATAACATGTGAAAGGGCATCTGAGACAAGTATAAGATTGAATCAGCACAGATATACACACAAACAACTGAAGTACATCAGTAATAAGACACTAACTTGATGGGTGAGTGAATGCTTAATTGTGTGGTGTATACCCATTTCAATTCAGTGGATATGGGTTCTGATACCCAGTTCTTGTACCAAAAATTTGTTATCTTTGTCGGCATTTTCTGCTTCTCTGTCTCCACCTACTTTTTTCCTCTTTTCGATTTCTTCAAGAGATAACTTATCAGGTATTTCAAAACTCTTGTCTTCAATTTTCTTTTTCTATTTTTATGGTAATTAAAAAAATCTTACTTGTTTTAAAATCTTATGTTGTTTCTGATTATTTTGTTTGTTGCAGATTCAAAAGAAATGACAGGTCATCAGAGGACAACTCAAACCAATCGGAGGTTTCTTCTGCAGAAAACGGTCTTAAAGATTCGATTCCTATTGAGCCAAAAACAGAGTTACAACCGTGGATATACAGGGGTCGAATCCAAACAAGAAGACAAATGAATTTTCGGATGGGTTTGACCAAAAACAGACACCCGAGTTCTCTTTCAAATTCAAGTTTCCAACTTTTGAAGAATTCAATCAGAACAGGAAAAAAAATGGGGGTTCTATCAGCTTTGAAGCAGCCCCAGATTCGAGCATCGCTAAGTACGAGTTCATGCCTGTTGTCAAGTGTTCAAGTATATATATATAACAACAGCAACAGCAGCCTCTCACAGCGAAAGGAAGAGAAGAGAGATGAGATGAGTGCCTTACCATCGAACTAGTCTCGTCGCCGAAGATATGAGTGCACCATTCGCCTCTCACAACAATTGATTTTGATCCTCCCTCTATTTTGAGTGCATCGTTCAGTTGTGATCCTCTCTCTGTTTTGGGACACTGCAGTAAAGCTTTGAAGAACCTCGAAAGGGCATCAGGACCGCCGTGTTCGCCTTCGATCACCACAGCTATTCGGTTAATTAGCAGTCAATCAGAACAAGGTTTGAAGAGCCCCTTTCCCCTTCCAACGAATTTTGGAACCCTATTTCTTGTCCCTCTCTTTCCTCTAGGTTACTTTATCATTATAACCCACTAGAACCAGAGAGGCAAGAGTCAGTGTATCTAAATCAGATAAGAATTCAGATAAGCCATGAAAAGAGCGAAAAATCCATATTCCTGGCTTCAATAATTATTGGCAATCCCTAATGGAGGTACATAAAATACATTTAAACATATTGGCAATCCCTAATTGAGATACATAAAATATATTTATCTAGAATTTATATGTGCCCTTAATCTTTATTTTTTTAGTAAATCTGTTACATTTAATATTTTCTGTTAATTGCATATAAAGCAAATAACATGAACGAGTTATTAACTTAACAAATCTATATTCAAGCACTCATTTTTTCATAACTAGTCTGAAGAAATAATATATGGGACACTATGTGTCTGAGTAGTTTTCAAAATTAGGAAAAACAATGAAATTAGTTTTGAAAATTAGGAAAAATAAAGATTGAAAAATAGAGAAATCGAGTGAGGGAGAGGGAGAGAGAGAGAGAGGATCTATAACTGAAAAGAGAAAAATAGAGAAATAATCGAATAAGCAACGCCGACGGCACTGACGATTGCTCGGAGGAGAACGCGGGTGACATCGGTGGCGGCACTGAAGGAGGAGAACGAATGACGTTGGTGGCAGCTCTAAAGGAGAAGAAGGGGGGCTGAAGACAGAGAACGTATGTTTTGCAAGAGAGGGATGAGAGGAAAACTGAAGCACCAAAAAAAAAAAAAAGAAGGGGGAACTAGGAGGATTTTTTTTTTCTTTTTCATCACCGCCAATATCACAAAGTTCTCCCTCCAAAATTGGTGATAAAATAATTTTCTCCCCAAAAATTTTAAAATGTTAAAATAATTGACGACAAAAATATATTCTTCATCAAATAGTTTCAAAATATTTAAAATCAATTTTTTCAAAAAAAAATATTTAAAAATGTGAAAAAATATTGTCTCACTAAAAAGAAGAGGAAAAACTTGTTGACGAAATTAATTTCTCCTAAAAAATATTTATTGACAAAATAAATTTCTCACATTTATACTTTTATTATATATAACAAATTTAAATCCGCGGATTATTCTATTTAAAATATTTCCACACTCGTTCATAAGGTTACAAAGAACTAATTAACTTGTGTTTTTTGACAGTGAAGAGAGAGAGAAAAAGAGAACGGAAATGATAAACAATAAAAAGAGGGAGGGGGGAGTTAGTAGGCATTTTCATACCGGGCCCAATAGTCAAAATTCCTCCAAAATTATGACAAAATAATTACCACAAAAAATCCCCTCAAAAATTAAAATTACAGTGAAAAAAAATATTCTCACCAAATGGTCTAAAATTTAAATCAAGCCTCAAAAAATATAGTAAAATTATGTGACAATAATCCTCACCAAATTAAAAATGTGACAAATTCTTCCTCACAAAGTCGCAAAATTGGCGCCACCAAAAAAAAAATTTACCCGAAAACTCGATGACAAACATTTCCTCACCTAAAAGAAGTATTTGTTGACGAAATATCGTCACCTATATTTTTTTTCATAAGCAAAATTGTAATTCGTCACGAATATTCGTATTTATACAAATTATCTTCAACACTCTTCGTCACCATAGTTTAGACTTTTGTAGTAATTAGGTCTTAATGATAGGTGTCCAGTTTTGCTGATAAATGGCACTCTAAAACACAGAAAAAACACTTGCGACGACTATTTTTTGTCAAATAGCCACTTTCTACGACTAAATCTAACTTTTGGCGACCACAATTTGTCACAAAATCACCTTTTGGCGACCAAAAAAAGTTACTCACTCCGGAAAGCAAACGTGAGATCACCTTTTTGGCGACCAAAAAATTGTCACGGAAAGTATACCTTTTGCGACCAAAAGCTTTTGTCGCGAAAGTATATTCCTTTTGGTGAGCTTTCATAAAAAATGTGTCGCGAAAGTATAACCTTGGGCGACCAAAACAAATGTTGCTGGAAAGATATCTTTGCGACCATGGCTTTTTTTTGGTCACGGAAGATTACCCTTGCGACCAAAAAAAAGGGTCCGGAAAGTAAGCAGTGCGACCAAAGGCTTTTTGTCGCGTAAAGATTACCCTTTGCACCAAAAAAAAAAGTTGGTCGCAGAAGTCTAGCGAGGTTTTGATAAAATTTTAAAAAAGGATACTACGTAATTACATGTTATTTTTCTGTTTAGGCATTAAAAGTTTTATAAAATAATATATAACCCAATTTTTATGGGTTATATATTTTCTCTACCAAATATGAACAAGAAGCATGTTATTGGCAGAGTGGATTGGGTGCATGGTGACTCCTTGGTTAGGAGTTCAAGTCTTAGGCAGTGCAAAAGAATTAATTTTTTTGGGTCAAGGCGCTGACTTTTGGCGACCGACTTATCTTTGGTCGCTAAAAGTTCCCTATTGGCTAATATGAATTGGACTTTTTGCAACCAAAAAAGTTGGTTGCCAATGGTCACTTTTTTTGGTCGCTAAAAGTTCCCTTTTGGCTAATATGAATTGGACTTTCCACGACCAAAAAAGTTGGTCGCGAATGGTCACTTTTAATGACCAAAGGCTTTTTTGGTCGCAGAAAACTATCTGTCACGAGGCTTTAGCGACCAACTCGCGACCAACGTATTTTGGTCGCGAAAAGGTTTTAGCAACCAAATATGGTACTTTTCGCGACCAAACATGTTCGTCACGGAAAGTGTTTTTTTCTTGTAGTGCTAGTTAAGTGTGTCGGGTCAAGCGTGTATTTGTGCTTGTGAAATTTCCTAGAGTGTACTTCAGTGTATTATCTTCTCTTATAGAGGTGTTTTCCTAGTGTGTTTTCAAGAAATCTCATAACCTAAAAAACAGTCTCTAAATTGGAGTTTTTAAGAAATAGGGAAATGGTAATCTCTAAATGGAATAAAATAGCCTCCATTAGACTTCCAAAATAAGTCATTCATTTCAATTCTATACAAGAATGCTACCTAAAAAAATGCCCCTTTTTACTTGCATGATCAAACAGAGTTTTCACTAAAACCAACTTAAACCTTAGGGACAAGAGCAATCTAGCAGGTGTGCATATTGTGAAGACAAGGATAGCGTTTTAGGCTAAGAGTAGTCTAGCAGTTGTGCATTACATATTGCATGATTTTGTTTATAATCTACAATAGGTCAGACATTGCTTCAGGTGAAGGGTGCATGACTTTGTTGTTGCTGTGGCCTTTTACTGTTTTTTATTTTTTTTATTTTTTATTTCGGTCAAGTGTTGTACCTAATGCGTGATGCTAGTGTTTTGACACAGCAGCTACACCCCAGAAGTTCACTCCGCAGCTGCACATCTCCTTTGCTTTATACACCAGTACCCATCAATAGTCCCATCATGCCACACTTGATACATCTCCTGATCCTGCATTCTCAAGCTGGAACCAGTTCATACTTGTATTTCCCATCGCTAACAACAATCAACAGCAAGTAGAATTAATCAGTGTGGGCTCACCTTTTTCTGGCGCCCACGCCTTTTGGAAAAGGGGTTTGAAAAGAAAGACCTCACAATTCGGACTCTCGCGGTTTTGAATCTAGTCTCACAAGTGTAATGTGAAACTGATAATCACCAAAGAGTCCAAATCCGACAAATCGTTTTGAAAAATTGATTTTTGAATCAAAGAATGCCAAAACTGGACTGCTTTGCCAGATTACAGAGTTGCCACCTAAGTATTTTGTATTTGGAAAATTTAGGAAACCCTGACTCGTGCCAAAGCCCACGTGTCCGTCATCACCAAAGTTGCATCAGCTCAGGAACTTGGGTACGAGAGGGGATGGTCCTAAAATGAGCACCCCCACTCGTCCGATCAAAAGATCGGCCTCTACTAATCATGATATGTTGTTTTATAAATCTCATGTGTTCTTATTCCGGTTATTAGCTAACTTTAGTATGTGACGCACACAAGTAAGTATAGACTAAAATCGCAGGAATTAGAACGCATTCAACTCATGTTTGCTTTTGAAAATGATTTGAATTTGTCACCCTCAGGTCGGCTTAGAAATGCGGATTTGCC